CGGACTCCAACAAGCTCCTGAGCCCAAAGGAATGTTCTTAATGCCTCTACGATACTCCCACTCTGTTAGCAATTGTGATTCTCAGAACAGGGGAACAGGCCCACTGACCCAGATTACATTAGAAGGTTTTATTAAAGGGGAACGCGATACCAGATTAAAAATTGCATCCTCACAGCCATTGGGGATTACTCCAGAGAGTGGGAATAGTGTGAGAGCATTGGTCTTCGATATTGCCAAGTGAGACATCCACTGAACGATCCTGTTACTGGACTGCAGGGGGTCAAAATTACATTGCAGCAACAATAAAACCCAAAGTAACTTTAACTATCGCCAAAGCAATACAAAACGGGCGTCAGCCAGGCTCAGTCAGCAGTGCTCTCGCCTCCGAGTTAGAAGGTTGTGGATTGAAGTCCCCAGGTTGGGGCTTTCAGCCCAGTAGCATTCCAGTTCGGATGTGAAGTCAAACCGAAGTCTCGCCTGTGCCTGTTCAGGTGGACGTTAAAGATCCCGTGCCACTATTCGAAGAGAGAAGGGGGATTCTCTCTCCTGGTGGCCTGGCCAACAATCCCCCAAATAAAAATTGGTCAGTTAGTCGGTCGGTCGCTCACTCCCTCGCTCACTCACTCGCTCGCTCACTCACATGACTGATTCTGGGGCATTTCTGTGCACAAATTCCTCAAAATATCTCAATGTTGAAGAATTTTACTGTAAATCATAGTGACACCTAATTTACAGATGAACACGGCAGCCATTTGCACCCAGCAATGTCCCGCAAACAGGTATGAAATGAATGACTGGAACGACTGTTTGTGGGACACTGCTGTGCGCAATTGGCTACCGGGTTTCTCCCACAAATATACAGTCATTTCACTTTACAGGCTATTCTTTTGAGGCGTCTAGAAGACGTGAAAACCGCTATATCAAATGCAAGGATTATTATTATTATTATATGATTTCATGGCTCAAAGGGTGGGGGCAGAAAGGCAGAAGTCCTGACCGCTGATGGTGGGACAGGCCGGGCGGGGGGGATGGAGCAAGCCGGAACCTGTTGAGCGGAGGGAGCGGACAGGTCTGTAATAATAATAATAATAATAATAATCCTTCCATTTTGATATAGCGTCTTATCACGTCTTCTAGACACCTCAAAGTGTGTAACAGAATATAATGTAAAGTTAATTGATTGTGTTTTGTGGCTGAAACGTGGCAGCCAATTGCGCACAGCAGCGTCCCACAAACAGTCGTGGATTGAGTGACCGAATTCTTTTTATTTATGGAGTTGGCAGGTCACAGAGGTAGGGAGAAACAAGGCCACGGGGGCTTTGAAGGCAAGGACGAGGATTTTGAACTCTGACAGAGAGGAAATTCCATAAGCAAAGTGTGTCAGTGACAGAGAAATAATGAGAAATGTATTTAAGAGGGGCTTGTTGCTTATATGAGCGAGAATAAATACAGGGGTTTAGGAGGGGCCTCATGTGGAGTATAAACACTGACTAGTTTGGCCAAATGGCTTGTTATGAGTACACACAGTGTGAGAGAAAGAGAGACAGACCGACAGATAGACAGACTGAGGAAGGCAGTGAGCGACACAGACTGAGGGATAGAGTTAGAGAGACAGGCAGACGAGGAATGAGAGAGTGTCTGCGATAGAGACATAGATGCCCACAAACAGAGAGACAGAGACACATAGAAATACACACACCCAGAGGCATCCAGAAATCGACCCGGTGGGAAAACTGTACTAGGAATGAAGGAAGTGGTATCGTGGAGTCCAGTGATTCGAGCGCTCACTTCGCAAGCGAGAGACCCGGGTTCGATTCCCGGCAGGGTGAAACCTTGGACAAGTTTCCTTACTCCACACGCCTGATAATAATCCCTCAAAAAAAATAATAAATTGGTCACTTCAATCCACAATTGTCTGTGCGCAATTGGCTGCCGCATTTCGCCCACGAAATATACAGTCACTCCACTTTATGATATATTCTGTGAAGCACTTTGAGATGCCTAGAAGACGTGAGATGCAAATGCAAGGATTATTATTATAAATACATTAAGGCGGGGAAGGGGAACTGGAATTTCAAGTTAAATTCCATTCTGGGTGCTTACCATAATAATAGTAAAATAATAATATTCCTTGCATTTGATATAGCGCCTCATCAAGTTGTTGAGACATCTCAAAGTGCTTCACAGGATATACTGTAAAATGGCATCCTCACAGCCATTGGGTGAAACTTGGCTGCCAATTGCGCACAGCAGTGTCCCAAAAATAGTCGAGGATTGACTGAGCCCCAGTTTTATTTGGGGTGGGATTGTTGGCCAGGACACCGGTAGAGAGAAACTACCTTCTCTTTTCAAATGGAGCTATGGGATCTTTAACATCCAACCTGAACAGACAGACAAGATCTCAGTTTAACGTCTCATCCAGAGGGCAGCATCTCCGACAATGCAATATACCCCCAGCACTGCATCAGTTTGAATTTTGTGATGCCAAGTCCCCACACCTTCCTATCCATTTCCCTCGACAGAAACCTCCCAGGTATCACGGTGCGAAGGAGATGGGGGTGACATTATCAGATAATACACTGCATGCCCCACATAGCACTCCACACAAACACAAACACACACACACACAGTCTCTTCCACATCCCCCCACCCCACCACCACCACACCGCCACCAACCCAAACACACACACATGAGCTTTGACGCCTCCTCCCATATTGATACCAACTTAACGGAAAAGGGAACCAAGCAAGGGAATGGCAGATGAATCCGCACGAGTAGCCATGAAGTGAATAACCAATTCAAAGGGTCGCAAAGCATTTGACTTCCGATCCTTCTTGAACTTGGGTTAATCTGTATTTGCAGGTATTTCCCGATTCCCAATTCACTGCTGTGTGTTGAATATAATAACTCTTGTATTTTAAATGCCAGCCTGAATCAAGGGTTATTATATACAGTCTATTACCCCGTCTCTGAGTCTGGTTTTGTGGGTTCGAACCACGACATTGGCGAGTGCTTCACTGGATTTAAAATGAAGTGTATTGACTGTGTATTTTGTAGATTAACCCGACAGCCGATTTGAGCGCAGCAATGTCGCATGAACAACCATCGATTTGATTTGGGGGATTGTTGGCCAAGACACCGGGAGAGAGAGAAACTCCCTTCTCTTTTCGAACAGTGCTGTGGGGATCTTTAACGTCCACCCGAACAGGTACAGAGAGGGCCTCGGTTTAACGTTTCACCCAAAGGACGGAATTTCCAACATTGAGTCAGTTCACCGGCACTTCACTGGAGCGACAGCCTGGACTGTGAGTTAGTTCAAGACCTGACCTGGGGTTTGAATAGTGTGTTACAGGAACACATGGGGTGCGAGTACAGATTATTTAATTTCACTCAAGGTCTAATATGGACCGAGAACAGAAAAAGGCCTTTGGGCTCATCGTGTAACTGGGCCAGTTATCCCTATATTATTATCCTTTCTTTATTAACCTAACTTTCCAGCTCTTTCACCATTTCTCTTCCTATCTTTACTGTTCTAAGGCTCAACCACCGTAAAGTGATGGGCCAATCGACTAACAACCTGGTTCCTAAACACTGCTAAGTAAACAGAGGTGTGTTGAGTAAGGAATCTTCTAAGGTTTTGCCCTGATTGGGATAGAATCCAGGTCCACTCGCTTGCGAAACGATTGTGCTAACTATTAGCTACAGGTCTCCACATATGTTATTTTTAAAAGATATATTTAAAAAAAAACTTGTGGCTGTTGTTTGTAAACTGCTCGGATGTAAAAATGTAAGGACATAAGAATTTGCTGGGCAAAAGAGGACTAAGGTCCATCTAGTTCGCCTTCCACCATCCTGGCAGTCGCTTGACAATTACATAGCTCACCTTCCTCAACTGGTTGGTTGACATTTGTCCTTGTTCCTCGAGAGGGGAGAAATTTCAGTCTTGCCAACTGAGAGATTGACACACACACACACACGAGAAAGACACATGCATACAAGACACACACACGAGGAAGAGACACACGTAGCATGAGAGCGACACTCATACACGCAAGAGAGACAAACTCACACGCGAGACACACAATACACATACATGCAAACGAGAGAGGGAGAGACGCACAGACACCACAGACAGAGAGCGACACAGAGAGAGAGAGAGACAGAAAGATACACACAGATCGAGAGCAAACGAGACAAACTGAAGCTTGAAAACACAGCAGATAAAGATTGGAAAACAAACCAAGTGAAGTGCCAACACTTCAGCATACAGGTGACAGCTTGTTACAGAGACTGATCATCCACAACCCCAACAACCCCCCCCACACACAGCTGTCTCCCCGCCACTCCCACACACACACACACACAGACCCACACACACACAGCCCCCCACCAGACACACACATATAATCCATCCTACACACATGCACACACAATCCCCCTCACACACATTCACACAGCAACCCCCCCCACCCACACACAGCGCACTCTCCCAATACACACACACAGCCCCCACCCCCACACACGCGCAGTGCACCCCCCCCACACACACGCGCACACAGCCCCCCACCACCACCCTCGAGACTGACTATGACACAGCACCCCCAGCCCGCCACCCAGTGACCGCCCATCACACAGGACATCCCCTCACCTACACACACAGCCTCCGCGCCCCCGAGAGACTGACAATCAAACACAGCCACCACCCCCCCCACCCCACCTAGAAACTATCGCAGAAACGCAGGACATTTCCCTCCGCCCCCACCACAAACGCACAGACCGACTCTCACACAGAGGACGGTCAGCCTGTCTGCCCCACTGTCCCCCCGCCCCCTTCGATCTGTACTGTGCTGAACTCCGCACATTCCACAAGCAGTGAGTTCAGACTGTAACGTGTTGCACACTGACTGGAGGGGAAACGGGCAAACTCAACCGATCGAGAGGGATGCAGCACTTTGCCACAATCATTCATGGTCCCGACGGAGTCTTTAAGGAGACTTACTGTGTAGCTTTGCGGGGGTGAGCACACACTCTCTCTCTCTCTCTCTCTCTGGATACTGCGTGTGGATTTTAATCTTCCTTTTCCACTCTGCAGGTAAGCGACAGACCTCTCTACAGGTTCTCCTCTCTCTCTCTCTCTCGCTCTCTCCTCTCTCGCTCCCTCCCTTCCTACACCTCTCTCCCAATTACCTGTAGAGTGTCAGCTCTGACATTTCCAAGAGGTGTGGCTTTTGAGAAGTAACTCCACGCACTCCAGACCCAGGCAAATGTCAGCTTCAGAATTTCTAAGGAAGGGGAGGCGTGGAAATCTGCTCTCTTAAGATTTCCGTGTTTCGGATGAGACGTTAAGCCGAGGTCCCATAATAATCCTTGCATTTGGTATAGCGCTTTTCACGTCGGGAGGACGTCCCAAAGCGCTTCACAGAACACACTGTAAAGCGAATTGACTGTATATTTGTGGGCGAACGCGGCAGCCAATTACGCACAGCAATGTCCCACAAACAGTCGTAGATTGAAAATGACCAATTTATTATTGTTTTGGGTTTTGGAGGGATTATTATTAGGCTCTGTGTGGAGTAAGGAAACTTGCCCAAGGTTTCGCCCTCTGCCTGGAATTGAACTCAGGTCTCTCGCTCGCAAAGCGAGTGCTCTAACCACTGAGCTACAGGACTCCATCTGTTTGCGCAGCTGGATGTTAAAGATCCCATGGCGCTATTCGAAAAGAGAAAGGGGTTTCCCTCACCCCGTGTCCTGACCGACAATAAAATTTGGTCGCTCAGCCCACGAATGTTTGTGTGACTTTGCAGTCAATTCACTTTACAGTATATCCTGTGAAGCACTTTGAGACGTCTCAACAACGCGATAATATGTAAGCATTATTATTATTTTACGAAACTGTGTCTGACTTAGTGGGCAGCATTCCTGCCTCCGAGTCCGAAGGTTGTGGATCCAAGCCCCTCTCTCTTCCTCCCCCACACGTCAGGACTGGATTCTAAGCGCCTTTCACATTGGGCAGGACATCTCAAAGCTGATCACTGGATTTACTGTAAAGTGTACTGACTGTATACTGTGCAGGAGAAATGCGGCAGCCAATTTACGCAAATAGAGCCATGGGATCTTTACCGTCCAATTGAACAAGCACAGATGGGACCTTGGTTTAATGTCTCATCCGAAGGATGGTCACCTCTGACAATGCAGCATTCCCCCGGCAATACATAAGAGTTTCAGCCTAGACTGTGAACGAGGTTAAGCCCCAACTGAGAACATCCAATTTGCACCAGTATAATCTATACTTACCATTGTATTAGCATTTGATAAAACATCTATTCTTTAATAGGTGCCCCACAGTTGACAATTTGCACACAGCAATGTGCTCACCAACAGCTGTGAAGTGAATGACCAATTTATTATCCTGAAGACTGTCAGCCAGGACACTGGGGAATAATTCCTTATCTTTTCTAATAATTTCACAGCTGTAGAGACATGCACACACACACACACATCACTCACCCACTCACGTACAAAATACTCTCACACACACACCACTCACATATACACACACGCATGCACACAAACACCCAACCACCATTTACATACAACAACAACAACTTGCATTTATATAGCGCCCCTCACACAGGGTAGCGTTCCAGAACAATTAAGTGTTCCAGAGCGCACGCGCGCGCACACACACACGCACACACGTTGATTTGGGAGTGAGATCGGACTCACTATTGAAGAAGATTGGGTGTGTCTCTCTCTGAACAGGAATTTGCAGTTTGACCTGTAAATTTTTAATTTAACAAAAAATTTGATCTGCCTCCAGCTTTGCCCCTCCCTCTCACCGCAACCTGCGCCCGCCCCCACCCCACCCAACCCCAGCCTGCGCCACACACCCCCCCCATCTGAGTCACCTTCAATGAAGACTGATGAGCTCCTAGCTTGTCTAGTCGTTACTCATAGCTCATTCCTCTAACACTGGGAATCAGCCTCGGCTCCTCTCCTCCGCACCACCCCTCTAGGGGTTTAGGTAGCCCCTCACACCGCAGGGACCAGAACTTGTACAGATGTTCGCAAAGTCCTGTTACCCCCGCCTGGGTTTTTTCTTACACTGTTTATTTTCTGTTGCAGATGAGTGGAGGGTAAGATGATAATTATCTGATGATAATAATCCTTGCATTTGATATTGTTATTGTTGAGACGTCTCAAAGCGCTTCACAGTGTACACTGTAGAGTGGATTTGACTGCGTATTTTTGTGATACCAGTAACTACTATCGAGGAAAGTATTGTGGTCAGTGTCTGGGTCAATGAACGTCTGAGGGCATTTTAAGGAACGGTTCCAAAAGTGCCCCTCACCCCCCAAAAAAAGATGTTAAACACATGTCCTGAATACCATTAAGTATATCTATCAACAGTTATCATCAGTCTTCCACATGTTTCAGTTGTTGGTCAGGGCGCTACAGAAAAAAAACATGGGCGTAACATTTGTGAACTTCCTGTGCACAGTGTCCGAGGTGAGGAGTGTCGTAAAAGTCAACGCACTGTTAGTTGGCTGGAGGGGAGAGGAGATGGTGGTTGAAGGGGGCTGAGGAGGCATAGGGAGTTAGGAGAGGGCTGGGCGGAGAATCTGGGTGTGGGAGGAGGGGTGACAAGAGATGGGTTCAAAGCGCAGTTAAGTTACAGCAAAAATGAGTGAATTTTCCTTGTCTCTCTTTCTCAATCTCTCTCTCTCTCTCTCTTTGCCGCTTCCTGTTCCAGTAAGCAGTCATTTGATTAGTCAACCTTACATTGGACCCAAATCCAAGGTCGACAGAGCACACGACCAAATGACATCTCTCCATCTGAAGACCTTCCTCTTTGACCGTGCTTACAGTCACTTACCCCCTTCCCCCCCAGGCTCAGCATTGTGCTTTGCATCATCAAGTGCTCTGGGATGCTACTTGCGCTGCATGAGGAGTGCTATATAAATGCAACAACAACAAATTAGATTTGTAGAGCGCCTTTCACACTGAGAGGACATCCCAAGGCACTGTTGTTGAGAGGAGGGGAGAGGTAGAGGGGAGGAGGGAGGGAGGGAAGGAAGGGAGAGGTTAGAGGAGGAAGGGAGAGGTAGAGGAGGGAGGGGAGGGGAGAAGTAGAGGAGGGAAGGAGGGAGGGAAGGAAAGAGGGAGGGAGGGGTGGGGGTGGGAAAGAGAAACGAAAACACACATGACTCCCCTGACAAAGAGGAGCTTTATGTAGAAAGTTTTACAAGAAATGTGCGCGTAATAATCCGATTGAAGTGGAAATGTGAACTTGACATTTTACGCTTGACGGACAAAATTGTTAGTCGGCTGGTTTGGGGGGAGGGGTAGAGGAGGGCACTGGAGCTCACAATGCAGGCAATTGAAGGTGGTTTTGCTCTGATCTCAAAAACAACAGCTTGTGTTGATATAACATGTCGGGTAACGTCTCGGAGAGTTTTACTGCGACAGAGTTAGCCCCGCAGTCTTTCCCTGTCAGGTCCCAACCTCCCAGATCAGGCTCCGGCTTTTCCAGGCCAGGCCAGGACACTGAGAAACAACTCAATGCCTTGATGGGAAGAAAGTCGGTTGGGTGTTCTGTCAGAATGAGTTACAATCGGCTGAAGGGGTCTCTTCATCCTGTAGCGAAGTGCTTAGAGCACTCGCCTCGAGGGCGAGGGGACCCAGGTTCGATTCCCAGGCGGGTCGAAACTTTAGGCAAAAAATAATAATAATTTGATCACTAAATCCATGACTGTGGGATACTGCTGTGCACAATTGGCTGCTGCGTTTCTCCCACAACACAGACAGTCAATTCACTTTACAGTATATCCTATGAAGCACTTTGAGACATCTCGAAGACGTGATAAGGCGATATATCAAATGCAAAGATAATAATAATTATTATTATTATCCAAACCAATCTTGTGATCTCGAGTAATTCTGAGCCTCTTTAACAGCGAATTCAGGCCCTGATCACACTGCGTTGTGAAATTACACTTGTCTGAAGGATTGTTGAGAGAGAGGAACCCCCTTCTCTTTTCGAGGCACGGCGAAGATCTTTAACGTCCACCTGAACAGGTAGATAGTGTCTCGGTTTAATGTCTCATCTGAAGGACGGCACCTCCCACACAATACAGGGGGCTCTCCCCCCAGCCCCTAACATTACATTGGAGCGTCAGCCTCGTCTGTGAGCACAAAGTCTTAGCTTTGAACCCACAATCTTCTGACTCACAAAGAATGACTGAGACAGGCTGAGGCACATAATAAACAGTGACTGCTATGCCTGTTTGACCAGAATTGCTTCTCACTATTGGTTGTCGCTTCTTTTGCGAAACTTGCCCTGTGGCTCTTTCATGCAAATTCAGTTCTTCCTGGTTGTATGTCTGCAGATTAAATGCATTTGTTTGATATATATATATATATCTATATATATTTAAGAGCCACATTCCACCAAAGAAGCCGGAGGTATGGAATCTGAGATATGCTGCCCTAATTGACAGCAAAGTGAAATGTAAAGCATCAGACTGGACTGGTTTAAGGAACAATGACATATCAGCCATAAATTAGTTCATATTTCCTGAATAACAACAACAACTTGCATTTACATAGCTGTATTGCTTGACGGTGGCGGGTTTGACCCCAAGCTAAGGGGAGAGGTGAATGGTGACCGTAAGCACGATCAAAAAGGAACGTCTTTAGGCAAGAGTTGAAAGTGGGGAGGGAGGGAGCAAGGAGGAGGGATTGAGGGGGAGAGTTTCAGGTACAGCCATTGATGGTGGAGTGGAGGGGACGAGGGACAAACAGGAGGCCAGAGCCAGCCGAGCGGAGGCAGCTGGTGGTGGACTGGGGATGGGTGGTGGGGGGGGGGTGGTTAAGCAGATTGGAGAGGTAGGGAGGTGCATGAACGGATTTGAAATCTCTGTTTCGGAAAATTGTCACTCAATTGATGGCAGTTTGTGAGACAATAACTTGCACAAATTGGCTGCTACGTTCGCCTACAAAATATACAGTCACTACACAGTGAAGTGTTTTGAGACATCCTCCTGGTGAAAGGTGTAATATCAAACGTTCTCTCTCTCTGTCTCCGGAGTAATGACCCCTGGAGCGTGATGAATTCTGGAGCGTATTAGGCATAGGTTGACGAGACACAAACCTTGAGACTTTGATGTGTGCAAATTAGCTG